CAAGACCTGTTTTTCCTCATTTCGGAATACTGTCTATCGGTGTGGATGACCAAATTGATAAAAGCCAAGAAAAAATTACCTTATAGAACAAAAGTAAGCTAATTTGATCGTCTTCAAAGATGCTATGGCTATTTCACTTTTCGAATAGAGCCGAACCACGCAGGTCGCCATTTTGTTTTGCCCGGAAGTTCTCGCAAGATCTACTCCTCCCCTCTCTCTCTCTCTCTTTGTCTCTTTCTGAATACTGTCTATCGGTGTGGACGATCAAATTGACCAAAACAAAGTTTAAAAATGATGTCGTCTACAAAGATGCTACAGCTATTTAACTTTCCGAATCGAGCCGAACTACGCGGGTCGCCATTTTGTTTTGCCCGGAAGTTCTCGCGCTACTCCTCTCTCTCTCTTTCTCACTCTCCACTGCCCACAGACAAAATTGCACGCTTTTAGGCTAACACTAACAGTAGTAATAGAACATTTGTTCACAGCACAGAATTCTACAATTCTGTTATCTCAGTGTAGAATTCTGTGGTTCAGGGTGAACGCTTAACTGGTTGGCCTAGGCTATACTATAACGGTGAACGCCCACCGGGTGAGAATAGCCAAAAGACTCGCCTCCGCTATTCTCACCCGCGGTGAGAATAGAGGTGGCCAAAAAAAATATCAAAGTCCCTTCTTTATTGCATAGGTTGGAGTGGTCGCTCGTTACGGTAGTCCTTCCCTATTTTCAAACATCAATAACTCAATAATAATAACTATTGATTTGCGGCAAAAATGAAGGCCATTCGTGTTCAGTATGCAAAATACTATTAGAAAAAAATAGATTTAGATCTAGATTCTAGATCTAGACCTAAAACGCGTAGATCTAGATTCTAGATCTAGATCTACACGAGACTGGTGCATGAGTAAAAAAAAATTATAATATTATATAATCTAGATCTCTAGATCAAGATTAGGCTAGGGCAAGATCGACTCTGGGATCTATTCTTTCGAGTCCAAATGAGGACTCAAAGAATCGATCTTGTTCCCAGACTCTAAGCTTCGAGTCCGCCCAGGGTCGACGCCTCCCGTCTCCTTTTTTTTTAGCCTGGTTCCTAGACTAGACTCCGAGAAACGAGGCAAGAATCTAAATCTCTAGCCTACCGCACTATTACAGTCCTGTCGTGGGATAGGCCTAGGGCTGTCCCACCCCACAGTCGAGTTTTTTGCTTCAAAACAGACACCGCACCAGGACGGGAGTGATCCGGCGCATAAGGCGGCTTCTTTGATGTTGGCCTAGGCGGAGTTAAAAATGCATTCCAAAAATTTCTTAAATATAGGCCAAATTTAAGATCTAAATGTACACATGTGTACATTTTGGTTGACGGCAACTTGAGAGGGGGGGGGGGGGTGAAGTGAAAGATGACAAGAGGGGTGGGGTCATTTGTGAACACGCAGTCCCTAAAAGTAAAACTGCAATCATTCGGCCATAAATAATATGATGTATTACTACAGAGTTACTACATAAAGTTGAGAATAGCCACTTTCTTTTGTTTAATGGTCAGTCTAGCCATCATATTAGTCTAGCCGTCATTAAGAATTTAAGTACGGCTAGCCTCTTCCTAATATAACAATCTAGATCTAGATCTAGATCTATATATCTATATAAGAATCTAGATCTAGATCTAGATCTAGATCTAGATGAAAGTGGCTATTCTCACCCGCCGGAAGTTCTCGCAAGATCAACTCCTCCCCTCTTCTCTCTCTCTCTCTGTCTCTTTCTGAATACTGTCTATCGGTGTGGACGATCAAATTGACCAAAACAAAGTTAAAAAATGATGTTAAAACACAAAAGTAAATTAATTTGGTTGTCTACAAAGATGCTACGGCTATTTAACTTTTCGAATCGAGCCGAACTACGCGGGTCGCCATTTTGTTTTGCCTGGAAATTCTCGCGCTACTCCTCTCTCTCTTTCTCTCTCTCTCTCTCCACTGCCCACAGACAAAATTGTACACTTTTACTTTTAGTAGGCTACAGTTGTAATGGAACGTTTGTTCACGGCTTCACGGCACAGAATTCTACAATTTTTCTGTTATCACAGTGTAGAATTCTGTGGTTTAGGGTGAACGCGCACCGGGTGAGAATAGCCACAAGACTCGCCTGCACTATTCTCACTCCGGGTGAGAATAGAGGTGGCCGATCTAATATCTAGAATATGTTAATAAAATAATAATGTAGAATGTAGAGATATAATATTTTATATAGATCTATATATGCTTACCGAGCATACTTACACTACAGCTATGAAAAGACTTACATGGGCTCACCAGAGTACTTTACTTTATATACTTAAATATGCAGTTCGAACGAATATTCCAGACGCAATAATCTATCTGTCTCAAGTCTCAATTCGACTGACTCATGAAACATGACATGGATTGTGAAGGAATCAGCTGGATGAGAAGTCGGAATTCGAGAGTTGTCGAGAGTAAGCTTCCTTGACACCGCACCGGACATC